CGAAGAGGCCAATGAAGAGTTGAAAAAGAGGACAAAATCTCATGACAAAAGGAGACAAAAAGAAAACAAAAAAGCGTCAAAAGGAAGTAAAAAAGGGAAAGGAAAAGGAGATAAAAAAGAGAGAAAAAAGGAAATAAAAAGGAGACAAAAAGGCATTGAAACGGGGACAAAAGGGCACTTAAAAGGAGACAAAAACGAGATTACAGAAGAAGAAAAGATAAGAAAGAGACAAGAAGCTCTGCCAAAGGAGACAAAAAGGAAAGAAAAAGGAGACAAGAAAGAGCTCAGAAAGCAAGAAAGACAGAGACCAAAAAGACAGAAAAAAGAAGATAAAAAGGATGAAAAAAGGAGACTAAAAGGCATTAAGGAAGGAGACAAAAACAGGAAAAAAAGAGACGAAAGTGAGAAGAAAAGAAGACCCAAAGGAGACAGAGTTACCCAGAAAGAAAGAGGCAAAAAGGAGACAAAAGAGAGACGAAGAGGGAGACAAAAGAGAAATAAAAAGGAGATCAAAAGGAGACAAAAAGGAGACAGAAGGGAGCTAAGAGGAGGCGAAGAAGGGAGCGGGCCAACAAAGGAAAAAAGAAGAATCTCGAAGTCAGAAAGTGCCAAAAAGACACAAAGAGAGTCTCCAAAAAGACACGAAAGCAGTCTCCAAAAAGACAAAAAAGAGTCGCCGAAGAGGCACCAAAAGAAACTCCAAAAGGACAGAGAAGTCTCCAGAAAAAGCTTCAAAAAGCTCCAAAAAGGAGCTCCGAAAACACCCGAAAAGAGCCAAAAAAGCCAAAAAAGAGGAAGAAAAAGCGCCAAAAAACGCATCCCAGCCCTCCAAAAGAGCCCCATCCCCCCTTCCCAAAAGAGCAAAACGAAGGCAAAAAAGCGGAGAAAAAGAACCCCAAAAGAGAAGAAAGAGACAAGCCCCCTTCAAGCCCGTCAAAAACCTCCAAACCCCCCGAAAAGCCTCCAACCCCCCCAAAAAAAGCCGAAAAGAAACTCCCCC